TTAATAATTTTTCAAGATATTTAAAGAAAGTTTTTAATGCTATTATTTATTTATATGGTTTGGTTCTATTTAATATGATTTCTTCTAGCTTTCAAGACTGAAGATTCGATGCTGCTGTAAACATATATCAAAAGTTATTAAGCTGCTCGTGGAATTGATACTAATGAGAATGAATCTGATGATGACGGAGAGATGCAGTGCGAAATTGAAAAAATGTGCTATAGACCAAATATCAACCTCAATAATATGTCTACTTCTTCTAACATCCTAGAAACCAAGTGCCACAAGCATCTGCAGCGCCACCAACTCTGCAAGAACTGATGAAGAGGCTCTGAATAGGTCTAGAGAACAGACTTGCGGCATCTGCTATGAAATTGTTATGGAAAAACCTGAAAGGGAAAAACGATTTGGAATACTGCCTAATTGTAATCATAGCTTTTGTTTAACTTGCATTCGTAAATGGAGACAAGCTAGACAATTTGAAAATAAAATTATTAGGTAACCGAAATTTTAAAGTTTTATAATTTTTTTTAATTCTCTTATGCTTTTAAAATATAAATTCTTACTCTTTTAAATATATTATAAGTGGTATATGTGGAATCAATGTATTACACAATGGAATGTAGAAAATATTTTATTTATATATTCCATATAGTTTATATATTAATTTATAAACTTTCATTTGTTTATTCATATACTATGTTTTTTTATTAGTTATTTAAGGCAATGCTGCATTTTAGTATAATAATGTTAATTTGATGATATTGACTAAAGTATTGAGAAATTTATTATTTGCATTGCATAATAGAGTTGAATTACTTTAGGGCTTGTCCGGAATGCCGTGTTACTTCTGACTTTGTTTGTCCAAGTTCAGTTTGGGTTGATGCTACATGTGGCAAAGATAAACTTTTGACCGACTACAAGCAAGCATTGAGTCAGAAGCCTTGCAAACATTTTAAGCAAGGAAGAGCAAAATGCCCATTTGGAAACAAATGCTTCTACCTACATGCATTGCCAGATGGAACCAAGGCTGATGTAGGACCCCCTGTTAGGCGATCACGCAATCGTGAAATGGACATTGACATGGTTCAGGTTAGAAGGCGTCTTGCTCTTTTATTACTTCAATGGCACAATGCATCTCTTGGAATACATATTATACATTCACAATGATAGCTACATATCAAGTTACTTTCTCCCTGATCCCAAATGATAGAATCAAAGAAATTGCATTGGCAAATTATATTCTAATATTTTTGTTATGTAATTTCTCATTGACCAAATTCTATTGACCAAATACTAGCGGGGTTAACAATATTTTATGAAACTTTTTTAAATGTTTGATATTTCTCTACTTTATATTGATACTTTTTTTAATGGTTATATTTTTTTAGTGTGGATTTTAACTATAAACAGTTTTAACTTTTTATATTTTGATTCAATTATTTGCGGATATTTTCTATCTGTTAATTTATTAATTATGTATTTTAATCATAAGTTCAATTATTATTATGTTGTATGTTTTACAACAATAAAAATAGCGCAATATTCTGTATAAATGATATAACAGAATGAAATCACAAGTATTAATTAGATAGGCATTAAAGTAACGCACATATTTTAATATAGCATTCTTTAAAGTCAGATGAAACTCAATGCCTAATTAGTTTCTGTTTTAATAAATCAGTTAAAGTTAGATTTTAATGTAAGGGTTTTTATAGCTGTTAGTGTGTCAAATTGTTAAAAGCTGGCCTTATTTTAAAAATAATTGTTAATTGAAATTTGTTTTTGCTAAAATTATCTTTGTTTTCTGCATTCTTTAAGCCACTAAAGTAATAAAACAATTTGATTCGCGTGATACGAGAATGTATCCTTAGTTTTGTGTGATAAAAAAAACACTTTGAAGTTTGCTTGCATTCAAAGTGATTTTGCTCAGAGATATGGATGCATTTTCACTATAGTAGTATTTTATATACAAATTGTTATATACTGCGCTTTACCTCTAATGCAATATTATTATTTTCCATTTAGAGTTTGCATTCCTTTAATTTTAATGAATTTTAATATTTGTAGAAAGCATAATGTCAGCTTTCGGAAATATTTATTTATAGTTATGGCTGTGATGATACACTTTACATTTTCTAGATTACAAACATAATTTGGACAATAAAATATACATACATAATATATATATATATATATATATATATATATATATGTATGTATGTATATATAACATATATATATATATATATATATATATATATATATAATGTTAAAGAGTTAATTTTGATGATGAGATATGAGTAAGTTCTTATAAGGTGATACATTATTAAATGAAAGGTAAAGATTTATAAATTAATCTTTAATTTTTCCAAATATTTTGACTTGAATATTATATCATCATCAATGTAGGCAAGTGAAAAATTAATATGAACTATGAAAAATTGATAAAAACATATATATATATATATATATATATATATATATATATATATATATATATATATATATATATATATAGACAAAAGCCATAAAAAGAGAACAAAACAAGCTTCTTTCTATATAGTTTTTACCAATTTTTTTATAGTTATCTAGTTTATTTTAAATTTTCAATTTTTGCCTTTTGTTTGATGTATCGCCTTAGTAGAACTTACTGATATATATATATATATATACATATATATACACACACACATATTTATATATATATATATATATTAGGTTTAAAGATCAGGCGTTACATCAATTAAAAAAATGTTTGAATGTTTTATAAAGATTTATTATACATTCATATGTTTTGGCTAACATCGTAGCCTTCATTCATTGGAATATATTGTCAACTATAATAATTAAACTAATTGTAAGTAAATAATTTGAAACAGTTTAGAAATAAAAACTAGTGGTGTATGGCATAATTTTTTTGAATTATTCAAACTGTACGCCCCATTCTCTCACAAACTGAATTACCGTTTTTGACACTTTTTGCGTAGTATCTTTGAAACGGCTGGACCTGTCTTTGCCAAAAACTAATCAGCACGTCTATCATTAATCAAATACAATTACAAATCGAATGTTTTTTGAATTATTCAAATCGGTTGACTCGTGTTCCCGAATTCGTGGACGAAAATTTGTACTCGCACATAGTACACACACACACTTTGGCATGCATCTATTTTTTCTAAGGTATGCCAAAATGTTCAGAAATCTTTTAAACGTAAAGATATATAAAAAAAATTATTTTCGTTTTTTTCTGCGATTACTATAACACCCTATTTTTATTATTTTATTGAAAATATAAATTTTACACATCTCAGATAGATGGAAGTGTCTGGTATGAGAGATCGTACAAAATATCTGTACAATAGTATAGGGAAGTTAATAATAATAATAAACTATCTAAAAACACTTACAATTTGGTATCCTTAACTTTAATTGCTCCATGGTATTAAATTGTACACTTTTGTAAAATGTATGTTTTGACATTACAACAAACCTCACAAATAAACATGTATAATATATAGTAAGTTATCGAAACTGTGTACTGACTGTAGACAGATTAAAATTAGTTTATTATTATTATTATTATTCATAAACTGTTACAAGTTACTTACTTAGTTTAATTATTATGGTTGACAATATATTCCACTGAAGAAAGCTGAAACGTATGGATTTTTCATGAATTAAAAGAAACATTCATACATTTTTTTATTGATGTAATGCTTGATCTTTAAACCAATATAATATATTATATCAACAACAAATTTAAAATTATATATATATATATATATATATATACACCTAAGTCTGTTTTTACACGGAGATTGGTTCCAGAAGAATCCGTGTAAAAAAAAAAACGTGTAAAAAAAGACATTGATCTTATACAAAAATGGGTGATTTGTTCTTAATCTCTAAAACCTATTAAAATTGGTGAAAAACAAGAATTTTTAAGAACAAGAATTAAATTAGTGCTATTCACATTTGCTTTGACCAGTAAAAATTGTTTGTACGCGCTAAAGGGGAATTCACTTAAATCTTTAAGCTAGTGTTCGCAAACTATCGATACTATCGATGGTTTCAGACTTTTTTCTTTCATAAATACTTTTTTGTGATATGAACATACTTCGCAAAAATTAAATTTGACAAAAAAATTTAAGTACATAAAATTTCAAATCGTGCTAAATGGAATAAAATTGTGTAAAAAAATTAAAAATATTCAATTTTCAAACCGTGTTATATCAAAACCGTGTACAAAAAGACCGTGTAAAAACAGACTTAGGTGTATTTATGTTTAGTATCAAATTAAAACATTCAAATGCAACCTTTGCCTTTCGTAAGTTCCTTAAATATTTAATTACATTTTTCAAGATGTTTCTACCTTTTTTGGTATTATTCCTGAAAATGGGTTATTTATTCAGTACACAAATATTATTGTTCATTATTTATTAACCCTAAATGAACTGGGTCACAATATTGTGAGTTACTTTGAACATAATCAAAGAATTATGTATTCCAACGAATGAGAGTTCATTTCTGCCTCTTTCAACTTTCAATGTATAAAGCAAACACACATCCAAAATCAGTTTGTGCTTATTTTGATTGTAGACGGCGACCGAAAGCAAATTTTAATATCCGGACAGTAGGAACTCTATGCTTTCATAACTTTATTTACCCTTTATTTAAACTAATTATTCTTATGATCATTTAAAGTAAAAGGAAATAACCCCTTTCAAATTTTCAATAAATATATTGAATTGTTTTCCTGGGCTTCATTGACTCAGTACCCTTTTCTACTTACAATCACTACATTATGTAACTTATTAATTAAAAAATTGTATATGATAAATGTTTTATGAAGCTCCATTTAATGGTGACATGTAATGTATATATGTCGGATATTAAAAAGTACCAGTTTAATTATCCACCGGCTGCCACTGTGCAACAAACACACACACACACACATATATGTATAAATAATTTGAATTTGATATTGAGGTTTTTGGAGGTTCAGTTCTAACGATTAGACGTTACATCAATATATAGATTTTGTTTAATTAATAATCAAATTAAAATTTATAATTTAATAATAATAAAGTCTAAAATTACATGATAATTCACAATGTAATAGTGTGCTTAAGATTAAGAGTTTTAAATGAACTTATGTGCATAATTCATAAAACTATTGCTATAATGTCTGATTGTTGGTTCATATTTTTATATATATATATATATATATATATATATATATATATATATATATATGGCCTTGAATTTGATGTTGATATAATATGTTTAATTTGAGTTAAAATGTCGGGTGTTACATCAATAAAAATAGTATGAGAGTTTTTAGAAATTTATTTATTTAAAATCCATACGTTTCGGCTAGCATCTTAGCCTGCATTCAGTGGCAATCAATTTTTCCTATAAAATTTGAACACATGCTAAAAACTGCTTCAAGAAAAAATGTGACATTTCTATCTTAATCTCAGAACAGTAAATACATAGTTTCGACAACTTGTTAAGTTATCATGTTTTGTGTGTTTTACCATCTGTGATGTTGAAAAATATATATTTTATCAATTTTGTATCCTAATGTGTTATATTAGGATACAAAATTGTAAGTGTTTTATTATTATTATTATTATCATTATTGTTTTTCTATGAAATTTCTTACGTATTATTTATGTAGTTTTAATTTTTCTAGTTAAATTGATTGCCTCTTATTGATAGCCGTAACATATGGATTTTAAATAAATAAATTTCCAAAAACTTTCATACTATTTTTATTGATGTAACGCCGGACTTTTTAACTCAAATTATATATATATAATATATACTTTTTAACACATATATATATACACCTAAGTCTGTTTTTACACGGAGATTGGTTCCAGAAGAAGCCGTGTAAAAAAAAAAACGTGTAAAAAAAGACATTGATCTTATACAAAAATGGGTGATTTGTCCTACTCTCTAAAACCTATTAAAATTAGTGAAAAACAAGAATTTTCAAGAACAAGAATTCATGTTTATTTTAATAATAATTCCCCTAAATTAGTGCTATTCACATTTGCTTTGACCAGTAAAAATTGTTTGTACGCGCTAAAGGGGAATTCGCTTAAATCTTTAAGCTAGTGTTCGCAAACTATCGATACTATAGATGGTTTCAGACTTTTTTCTTTCATAAGTACTTTTTTCTGATATGACAATACATCGCAAAAATTAAATTTGACAAAAAAAATTTAAGCACATAAAGTTTCAAATCGTGCTAAATGGAATAAAATCGTGTTAAAAAAATTAAAAATATTCAATTTTCAAACCGTGTTATATCAAAACCGTGTACAAAAAGACCGTGTAAAAACAGACTTAGGTGTATATATATATATATATATATATATATATATATATATATATATATATATAATATATATGCGTGTTTCTGTGATTGTATATATCAGTGATAAGAGTTAGGATGTTGTGGCAATGACATCATATGTGAGAAATCTGATTTTTTTTACAAATTCTCTTCACTTAGATGTTTAAATAAAATTTCTCTCTACAGAAATATTTTTTCTCACGTCCGATATTATTGCAATAACCTTATGTTGATTTCAAATAGATTTTTCTATTCAGTTTGCCATGAAAATTAATATTATGATACATCATCAAGATGGTAAATTTCTTTAGCATATGGAAAAAAGTATGTGTGCCTTGAAATTTTTTTTATTGGTAATTAAAAGATATATTGACCAACTAAATATTTTCAGTTATACAAAACAATTTTAAGATAACATTTGTGATTTGATTATTGTAATCAATAATAATGATATCAAATAATAATTTACATTTTGATGTTGTATTTAATTATTTGAATGTACTTAGAGATAGTTATATTAATTTCAAATTATTAGTTTATTTTATCGTTTTATGTAAGTTTATTTAGTAGTATTTTCTTTTTAATTATTGGAAACATAAAAGTATAGAGCGCAAAAAAGCTGACATTTAATGATTATTAATTTTAATTACTCGTTAGCTAAGCCTTTTCCATATTCTATTTTATACGTGATTAGAGATATACATTGAGATATTCACTAGTTACTTTTAATTTGTTTACTTTATGTTTACAATCTTGTCAATTTTTTGTTCTATCTTTTATGTATTACTTAATAATTTGTCTTGCTATATTATTTTTTCGGGTAAATGTTTGTGACATGTTTTTGAATGAATGAATGAGCTTATATTGTTTTTAGTACTACGTTCTATTACTTTCCTCATTTGTGTTGATAATGTGGACGTAGATTCTTCAGCATGCAGGAAAAATGCATGCTCCTCATGAAAGTTTAATTCTACTTGTTGAAACTCATCTTTATTCTAGGTAATTTGCATGAACATTATATATTATTGTTAGGTTTTTTTAAGTGAGTATAAATTTATTGAAGTCCTTATTCCAGCGTTATGTAATTTGGAACTACGTACGAGAACGTGAACAAGAGCGTTTGCTTAGAAACAGTCGACTAGATTATGTTTCAGAAATGGATAATGTAGATGATGATGATTGGTTTACTGTGTACTGAGGCCTTTTATTCTTTTATTTTTTTATAATATTAAAATATTTAGTCTTCTAATTGTGATTGTTTCTTTGTTACAAAGAACAATTTGATAATTTGTTTGCAAAAGCAATTCAATTGTTTTGAGCTTGATATGAATGATACCGGTGATTTATTTTAAATTTGGGAAAAGCAAGTATTAAATGAAATATTTATGCTAAAGTATATATCAATTTCTATTGTTAATTCATTTAGGATTATGATTACATAGTATTGTATGTCTAATGTTGTTTTGGATTAATGTTAATTCAATATATGAATATTATTAGATTTATTATAAAGTTATCATAAATGATACTAAATATTTTATGAATTAGTGGTATAGTTATTATATTATTGTACTGCTCGTTTTGTTTATATTAAGATATGCAAAATATTTACATTCATTGTATACAAGGTGCAATCAAGAGAATATTTTATTCTTGTTGAGAAAAAAATGTAAAAAATATTGCCATTTTTGCTACAAAGGTTATGAAAGAACTAATATTTCGCTATTAATATTTGTACTAGGATAACTGAATTGAATAAAGTTCTATTCATGTTTTGTAACTGATTCTGAATGAGAAATTTATTGATAGATGTGTTAATGTTGAATGAAATGAGTTATTCTCTTATAGATGTTTGTATTATTAGAACATGGATATATTAATCCACTGTGTTATATGGTATTAAATTACTATTTTTTCAAATTAAAACACTTCTAAAAAGTCAACATGGTATTTATTTTCTGGTGAGAATGTCAACATAAATGTGAGATGGTTTTCAACACTCTCCAATCAACAATCACACATACACAATTTTCATAATAATTTATTAAAGGCAATAAGTAAAATAATATAATACTTAATTTAATACTATTAATAATAAGTACTGAACAAAATAAACGAAGTCTAGGATAGTTCCTCAAAATACTGTTTGTAAACTATGTTTTATCACACAAAATCAACTATTCAATCAAATTGAACTTATAATGACTAAATAAATTTTCTTTTTCCACAATCATTGTGGTAAACTACTTATAAACGATTTGTTTCTAACAAATTTCCATTTGAACACTATTTTGTAGGAAGTTGTAGAAAGTTTACTTTTTCGCATGCAAAATCGTGGGTTCTAATGGGCGAGTTTTCATTTCAGGCATTCTTGGCCAAGGATAGGTAACAGGCATAGCACTATCATAGTTATAATTGAACATTTGTTCTTCAATCCATTTCCTCTTGTCATGAGGCTCTGGGTAAGTCGATGCCAAACCTAATGAAACAATTTAATGTTGTAATTCAAGTATAATTTTAATAGTCTTGTATAATTTTGCTATCGGACATAATCTTTCTATTAGGTAATACCTTTGGAATAAGCGTACTGTGTGATCTTAGTTGCAATTTGAATAGAACACTCTTTAATAGCTCGAAGTGGTGGATAAATTGTTCCCCTTTCAATTAAATCATCATCAACATGATCTGCTACTGTCTGAAAATTTTTAGAAGGTTGCATGATTAACGCAATAATACATTTTTTATTTTAATCTTATGAAAATATTTATTAAATTTGTAATTATTGACAATTTGGAGGAATTTTTCTTAAACATAATTGCATTTATTAATTAACACGAACCTGTGCGGCCAGCAAAAACATATCTTCAGGGATGTGATGTGTGCCAGTAGCGATGACTCCCAGTGCAACACCAGGGAAATGTAGGCGTTGTTGCCCTGGCCCGGATAGTAAGTGCGATCGTTCATTTTGTGAGGCGGGAACGGAGAACCTGAGGCGAAGATGACGCGACCATCTGTGTGGGTGTAGGCTTGTTCGGCAGTACATTCAGCTTTACTTGTAGGATTTGACAATGCAAATACTATTGGACGTTCGTTGAATGTTGCCATATCTCGTAGGATTTCCGGTGTAAACGCACCACCAGCAGCCGATGCTCCTAAGGTAAATAAAATAGCGAAATAAGATTTTATAACTTTAAAAATTCGGAAGTAAACTATAGTCATACTCAGAAATCAACCTCTAATTAAATTAGATCACAAATAATAAAAAGTGACCTATTAATACTGATGGCTTGACTTCCTTTACGATTTCTGGTAAGTTCTTCATGACTTCATGTTCTTTGGCGTAGAAGGCTTTGTGTCCTTCCAAACGTCCTTCTGGTCTTCCCTTTGCAAGCAAACCATCAATGTCTACCATCCAGATTTTATCCCGAGCTTCTTGAACCGTTGTGCCTTCAGTTTGCATCGCTTTTACGCACAAATCGGCGATACCGATGGCGGCCTGTAAGTTAAGAGTTTAAGTAACGAGTAATGTATGTTAACATATACATAATGATTGTGTTGTACCTCTCCAGCACCCAAAAACAAAAATTTGTTATCTGATATTCTCTTTCCGGTGATTCTTCGCGACGCCAACAAACCGGCAACGGCAACACTGGCTGTTCCCTGGATATCATCATTAAATGTGCAGAACCTATCGCGGTATTTGTCAAGGAAACGGAATGCATTGTGGTTACCGAAATCTTCGAACTGAATTAATGTATTTTGGCCATATCGCTTCACTACAGCATACATGAATTCGTCGATAAAGTTATCATATTCTACACCAGTCACGCGCTTTTGTCTCAATCCAATGTACAGAGGATCTTCTAGAAGGGCCTATTACAGATGAAAAATATTTTGAGATTCAGACGTACGCATAACTAATTTTTTAAGCAGAATATTAAATATTTCCTTAAACTACATACTTCATTGTTCGTTCCAACATCCACCAAAATTGGCAAACACTGGTGTGGTTTTATGCCAGCGAGAGCAGTATACAGTGATAGTTTTCCTACTGGAATGCCCATACCGCAAGCTCCTAAATCACCTAAACCCAAGATACGCTCACCATCCGTAACGACGATGGCACGAACGTCTGGTTCTGGCCTGAAAAGTTGTGACTCATTTTAGTTTCATTTATAAAAAAACTTAATAGAATAATTGCACTAACTCAAAGAGATATTTTTAAATACCAGTTTTTAAGCACATCATAAACGTGCCCTTTGTCGTGAATTGTGACAAATAATCCTCTGGGCCTTCTGTAAATCAGACCGAATTTCTGGCATGCCAAACCTACTGTAGGCGTATATACAATTGGTAACATAGCTTCTATGTTTTCACTTATTAGCCGGAAGAATAACCGTTCATTGCGATCCTAAAGTGGGTTAATAAATCTTATTAAATTTATAAACATTGTACTCAAAAAACTTTAAAGGTACCTGCAATTCTACGAGGTACAAGTATTTATTCAGATCTTCTTGGTATCTTTCTATTGATATCCTACATAGCTCCAGTTGTTCCTCTTGCGTTTTAAATCGTGCAGGCTGCAATCCGTGGATTCCTAAAGCTTGGCGCTCTTCAAGGGTAAACGCTAAACCCTATTGCAAAATGAAATTAGATTAGAATAGATTCCTATAATTTATTCTACATTTTTTATGTAATTTTTTCAATTTCATCTGGCAAATAATTAAGTTTGAATGAAATGTGAAAACAAAATATGATATAAATCAAATAATAATGTAACATGGCATTCTTAAGAAATTTGTTTACTTTAAAATTATTTTGTTCTATTGACTTTAATTATTTTGAGTGAGAACGAACTCACCAGTAATTACTAAGCAAACAAAGAGAATTGAGACTGGAAAAATGATTAAAATATATAAATAGACATAAAATATATTTAGAATTCGCAGGCTTGTTAGCTTAATTGATTTATTCATTCATTAATTCGACGTTTATAACAGTCAAATTAAAAAAAAAATCGTTAAATGCATTCGTAAACGTTATTTCGTGGAAATATTCAATTTAAAGAGAAATTATAGATTTTGTTAACCTTATTTAGCCTAGGATCCCTCAGATGGTCAATCCCCATAACCATGGAGGGGCATATAATGTCGCCTGTAACTTCATGATAACATCTTGCTTCAGTTACACATTGGGGGCCCAAAAGTCGCGATAATACTGTAAAAGCAGCCTGTTTGTTCCGAGCCGCACCACATGTTCTAAAAAATAAAAGAAAATAGAGATGTCGTAAATTAGCGCAAATACCATTCAAAGAGCTCAAATAAAAAGATAATGAATAAATACGAGGAAAATGTTGTTTAAAAAATATTTTCCTACTATAATAAATATTTTGAACATCCAAAATAAAACAGAATGTACGATTTGCTATAATGGACGGATCTTAAGCCTTATAGCTACTCCTAATAATTTAATGTTAAATATTTCGATAAAATTTATTATTCTCAAAATCTAGAAAGACTAGTGGTGTATGGCATCGTGCTTTAAGGCAAATTGCTGGAACTTCCCGTACCGTAACGAAATATTCGAGGAATATTAGATGTGTTCAAATAGGTTATTATAAATACTGTAACATTGTATAATATTTATAAGAATTATATAAACTTAATTACAAAGTTAAAATTATTTATTTAGAGTATATAAGTAATCTTTAGTCTTTAGTCTAATCTAGCTAAACTAAACTTTAGCCAGCATTGAAATTAAAATCTGAATTATTTTCGATATACAAAAAAAAAAAATCTGAAAAAAAAATTTAAAAAAAATAATTTTGAAATGAATTTTTTTTCCAAAAGAAATTATTTTGTCAAACCAAGCAGAAAGTTTTTTGAATCATTCAAATCGGATGCTTAGTTCTCTCAAAAAACTGTCATTTTTTACACATTTAGCTTGGTATCTCCAAAACGGCTGGACCTGCCTTTGCCAAAAACTAATCACCACTTCTACCCGTCATTACAAATTGAATGTTTTTTGGATCATTCAAATCGGATGCTCCGTTTTCTCAAAAACTCGATTTCTATTTTCTGCACTCTTTGCTCCGTATCTCCGTGACGGCTGAACCTGCCTTTGCCAAAAACTAATCAGCACATCTCCCTATTAATAGGAATCGAATGTTTTTTGAACCATTCAAATCGGTTGATCCGTGCTTAAGAATATATGCAAAAATTTTCAATTTTCGGCCCATTACTATAACTACCCTACGGAAAGTTAAAAATTAATACAAACTTCAACGATTAATAAATGGGTAACAGATTTCTCACAGTCGACAAAATTTGAATTCTTATAACTGTTCTTATAAAATATAA